ATAAGTGTAATACATGTGACTCATTTTTTATTACCTAAGTTTGGAGTCTACACTTCAGAAACCTATATAACATGTAAAAATGAACTAGTAGAATAAAAATGTGGCAAAGTGTGCAAAGAACTAGGCCATTTAAAATCTTTCCTTCATTAAGCTCCAAAATTCATGATAGATCCTTTGAAATCTTCAATTTCTTCTAGTTTTCAAATGCTTTAATTGTGCTCATCCCCACCATCTCTCTCACCTCCCAGGTTCAATTAAGAAATAGTTTCCTCCTATAATTTTAGGTCTGGTAACATTCTAGTAACTATACTGTGTAAGGGATCATTACAAAGTGACTCTATAATACTGCTCTGTGGTGCCTTTCCCATGAGTGAGAAGCAATTTCCTACATCTTTATCAGATGGTAGAAAACTGCATATGGTTCTGAAATAATTTCTCCCTGTGATGATTACTGAATTATAGACAGGAGCTTTCTACACTATATAAGGCAAGTTCCTGAACATTACTGCCAAGCTAAATAATGACTCGGGACTCAGTTTCCACATTTATAAAAATGAGAAATAATCAAAAGGAATTTTTTTTTCTGGCTGAAATAGTCTTAAGCTTCCCTTCAGGTTAGGAGCCATGGGTGACAATGTTGTCAGACACCTTGTATTCATATTGTAGAATGGAAACTTCTTTGTACAACTGCTTAAAGAGAATGAAAAAAAAGAAAGAAAAAAAAAGATTCCCTTCAAAAGATCACATATATTAACACTGTGACTAAAAGATCCCGAAGACCAACATCCTATTAGTGGTAGCTTTCAAATACTCAATATTTATTGTCTCTCCCCCTGTCCCCAAAGAATCACAGCTACCACACAACTGGCAAAAATGTTTTCACAGTGCAGATTTTTTTTAAAGAATCCCAACCAGCTGGGGCTGGTGACTCAGGCCTATAATCCTAGCTACTCAGGAAGCTGAGATCTGAAGATCTTGGTTCAAAGCCAGCCTGGGCAGTAAAGTCTGTGAGACTCTCATCTCCAATTAACCACCAGAAAAACAGAAGTGGCACTGTGGCTCAAGCTGAAGAGCTCAAGGACAGCATCCAAGCCAAGAGTGCAAGCCCCACAACCAACAACAGCAGCAACAACAAAAAGAATCCCAACAAAGGCTATCAAGCTACATAACTCTTAGAAGATTGTAGTCTTTAGAATCACTGTGTTCTAAAATGAACCTAAATCAGAAAGACAGTAGCAAAATACATGGGAGAAAATATATCTAAGTGGCTATTTGCAGAAATCAGTCCTACTTTACACCAGCTTATCTCCCTGTGACTGTATGTAACCTACAGAATTCAAATTAAACTCCTCCTACTTCTAACCTTAAAATACTAGAAAAAAACTAGACTGGCTTTAACAGATCACTCCAATTCAATCAATTCCGGTGATCCTGAACTAAGAAGCCATCAGAAAAGGAGTCCACAGTAAGAAGGGGAATGATCACAGATAGAAGAGTGTCACTGTCTGGAAAGAGTTCATCTGAATGGTTAATTAAAATGTTTAAAAGCCAAAAATTTAATAGTGATTAATTCTCAACTGCGGGTACAGTTGGTGAGGGAAAGCATAGATTAATTCAAGGAATATAAGAGCCTGTTAAATATTTTATTCACATAAAATACTTACTCTGTTTGATGCACAATACAGTAGTCAGACATTTCTCCATTGCATTTTTTATACCACACATTCTCCCAGTACAGTGTGAAAATATATTAAGATTTATATACCCAAAATGGATGACTAAGGAATTCAGAAGCCTATGGCTCATCTGGTTTTAATCATCAGTGTGGACCAACTGGGATTAATATTACTGAAGGGTCTTGAAAGGCAGGAGTAAGCCTGTTTTGCCTCATCCTTTTGTTTTTGGAATGTGTGTGCCAAGGCTGAGGCTTGAACTCAGGGCCTTATGCTCTTGTTTGGTTTCTTCCCTCAAGGCTGGTGTTCCACCAATTGAACCACACCTCCACTTCGGGCTTTTTGCTGGAGATTAAAAAGTCTCACATATTTTACTTCAAAATCCAATCCTTGGGGCACTAGTGACTCACATCTGCAATCCTGGCTACTCAGGAGGCTGAGATCTAAGAATCACGGTTCAAAGCCAGCATGGGTAGTCAAGTCCATGAGTCTCTTATCTCCAATAAATCACCAAAAAACAGGAAGTGGCACTGTGACTCAAGTGGTAGAGCACTAGCCTTGAGCTGAAGAGCTTTAGGACAGTGCCCAGGACCAGATTTCAAGTCCCATCACCTACCAAAAATCAAACAAAAATAAATAAAACAATCCTCGGATCTCAAGCCTTCTGACTGACTAGGATTACAGGCATGAGCCACTATCATTCAGACTCAAAATATATTTTTATTAATATATGAGTATCAATGATTGGGGGAAAAAGGCATGAAAATCTGAAACAGATGGGGAAAGCTCAGCATTACAATACAAGCAGAAAAACATCAAGTCACCAGTTAACAGCAAGCAGTCTAAAGTGGCCCTTCTTTACCTTTCTCAAAACACTCCATATTGTTCATTCAACTACAAAAGTTTTTATTTCTTACAATGACCACTAGTGTTTTTTGTTGTTGTTTTTGGGGGGGGTCTGGTCGTGGGCCCTGAACTCTGCACTGTCCCTCAGATCTTCAGCTCAATGTTAGCGCTCTACCACTTGAGCCATAGTGCCACCTCCGGCTTTTTTCTTTTTGCTTATGTGGTGCTGGGGAATCGAACCCAGGGCCTCAGGCACGCAAGGCAAACACTCTACCACTGAGCCACCTTCCCAGCCCCTGACCACTAGTGTTTTATCCAATACAAATCTGTTACAGAAATGAGAGGAAGCAGAACAGCTTCTTTAAAGGGGGAAAGGGGGTGAGGGAGTCTTCCTAGACATCAATTTCAACTGTGAAAGACTATCATCTAATGCAATTATTCCTTTAAGTTACTACTTCTGCCTTTCAACAACTTCATTTAGAATCTAAGCTACTTAATTCCATACACTTGTAGCATAGTGCACTGGAATGACTACCATTATTTCATATAAGAAACTGCTTCTGAAATGCAGTTTTGGACACATAGCTCTTGTATGTTTGGTAATTCTAGGATAGGCTGAAAGTAAAGGCTGAATGAATATTAGAAGTCTTTATGTTAGAAGTACCAAAATTACTTCAAGTCCAATATATTTAAATAAAAGATACTGGCTCAGAAAAGTTTTTAATATACTCTTTGAACGTTGACTTACAAGATTGCAAAGAATTTACATTTTACTGTACCTCAAGTCGTAAAAATCTTTTGTTGGTAAACAGGAGAGCCTATGGTCACTTAAAAATAAAATGGCATTAAAAGGACTCTTTCAAGACAGTAATCTGAAGAGAAAACACAAAAGGAACTCCAAGTAAAAGAGCATTCTTCTTTTCACTAGTCTTACTGGAAACTTCTTGGGGGGGGGGGGTCCTGTCGAGGGGCCTGAACTCTGCGTCTGGGTGCTGTCCCTCAGCTCTTCAGCTCAAGGCTAGCGCTCTAACACTTGCGCCAAGGCGCCACTTCCGGCTTTTTGCTTATGTGGTGCTGAGGAATCGAACCCAGGGCCTCAGGCATGCAAGGCAAGTGCTCTAGCACTGAGCCACCTTCCCAGCCCCCTTACTGGAAACTTCTGAAGCTGTAGGTGGCATATTTATCTTTTCATACACAAGATACTGCTTCCAGCTGTTACCACGAATTTTCTCAACTACAGCAAAGGAAAAAAAAAGCATTTTATAAAGGAAGGATGTTCTGATATATTATGGATAACAAGGAATGCGCGTGTCAATCAACTAATATAACTTGGTCAAACTTGGTAGGAACCAAGAGGGTGCGGATGTGAAGACACCTACGATGTATTACTAATTAGCCTAAAGGAAGAATAAGTCGTACATTTTAAAAGCTGGGTCTAGCAGAGATGGGAGACAAGGACACGTTCAACCCCTATATATTTATGTGTTACACACCTCTAGCTCTTTCAATACGAAGATCGAAAAAAATGACATAACTGCACCTCTCTCCCTCTATGCATTTTCTCCTTTACACTATAAATGACTTCCATATCCCCAAGCTGGTGATATAAATCATTTCTCCCAAGAGGAACCCACAGAAACATACATAAACGCAAGGTTCTTTAAAAAAAAATAATAATAAAGCGTTTTCAGCTCGCCTTCCACTTTTCTGTTACCTCCCCAGAATGTGTGAAAATATCAACATCCGGTCGCCGGCCCCCGCCCTCGGGAGGCCCGCGTGGACTCCGTTCATCTCCTTCCCATTCAAGAGTCGTCACCTTGGAGAAGCTGCCCCGACATTTCTTCCCCGGGCTCCCCACCCCTATTCACGCCGCATTCTCCGCATCCTTCACCCCAGGAAGGGATTAGTAAAAAAGAAAAAAAAGCAAGCAGCGTGCTAGGGGGAAACGCCGCTCCAGAGGCCTGACAACCAACCCCACCCGGCGGGGCCTCCGCCGGGCCAGGCTTCCCTGAGAGCTGCGACCGAGGGTCTCCACGCGCCCCCAGCCCCCACCCCGGAGGAGACCCGACGGGTACAAGGCCGAGGCCGGGCGGCGCGCGCGGCGGGGACCAGCCCTAACGAAGCCCGCTCCCCCCCCCCCCCCAGGGAGGACGGAGGCCTCGGGAGGAGCGACGGTCCCCCCACGACTCCCCGCCCCGAGCCTCCAGACACCCCGCAAGGTCCGGCCGCGACACCCGGGCTGGGTCCGCGCCCGACCTCCCCCCCCCCCCCCCCCGCCCCGCGGCCCGGCCCTCGCACTGCAGCGGCTCCGGGCGGACCCCACGCCGACCTCGCCGCACACTCGCCACACACAAAAGCGCCGCGGCGGCCGCCGCCTTCCGCCCCCACGGCCCGCGGAGCAATCAGCGAGGCGGCCGGCGGCTGCGTCCCCGCGGCTCGCAGCCGTACACGGGCCTGGGCGGGCCGGGCGTCGCGGCTCACCATCACTGCGCTTGATCTCCACGTAAATCCCGATCTGGATCTTGCCGAAGTTGGCCGTTGCCATCACCTCATCTGGAGCGGCGGCTGCGGGCCGAGGGAGGGGGACCGGAGGGCGGAAAAGGCGGGGAGGGGGCGGGGTGGGCGCGGGAGGGGGAGCGGTGGCCCGCGGCCGCGCCGGCCCGGGAGGCAGCGTGAACGCGAGCGGGGCGGCGAAGGAGAAGCAGCCGGGAAGCGGGCGGAGGCCCCGGGACTGGCAGGCGGGCGAGAGGATGAGCACTGCGGGGCGTCGGGGTGAAGCGAGGGCCGGGGCCGTGAGGCGGCGCGGGAGAGAGTGGGAGGGCCCGCGCGCCGCCCGCCCGGGAGCCGACGCTGGGAGAGAGGCGCCGCGCGCCTGCGCAGAACACACGACCGGCGCCTTCCTCTCCGCCCGCCGCCTCCTGGCCTCCTCGGGGCGACCCCGCCCCGGCGCGGAGCGCGCGCGCTCTCTGTCCCCGCCGCGCCCGCCGCGCGTTTGATTCCGACGCGCGGCCTGGAAGACGCGGGAAACGGCGCGGCGCGCCCTCGTGCTCTTGTCTCCCGTGAATCGACGCGGCATTTTGGAGTGAATCGCGGGGAGGAGCTGCGTGATTTCTGGGCCTTCCGAGGGGACGGATTTAGGGGCCTGCCTTTATAGTCCGGCTCTCCGTTCCTCCCTCGCCGCCCCCTGCTCCCCGCCGTTTGCCACTTGGAGGAGGTGAAGGGCCCCGGTAAACCGTCCCCAGCCACACCTAGCGCAGGTTCCTCCTCATCCGGTGAAATGAGAGGCAATGAGTCGCCATTGAGGTCGGGATGAAGACCCACTTGTCGGGGGACTTATCTCGGGGTTCCCCCCCACCCCGGCGCCCCGCGCCCCGAGGTGGCCTTGAGTGTTTTGTTTGTGATCCCTCGGTGCTGGCCCGGTGTCCTGTGTCTTACTTGTCCTGAAAGGCCTGCACCTGTGACTCAAGAGCCGAGGTCCTAGACATCAGATTGAACTCGGGATGTGGCTTTTCCTAGGTCACTTGACTGGTCGGACTACATTAACAATGTGGGGACCAAGACTCCCCGTCCTGGCAGGGCAGGATGTTTGCAGCATCGTGTAAAAACCTCCAGACCCGTGACTTTGTAGTACTGGGGCTTGATTCAGAGGAGATGTATTTCATGACCCGGTTTCCCTAGTCATCGTTAGTCCCCTGCAAGACTGAAAACATTCAAAAGTGGGAAACTGGATAGATAGGCCTGATATAGGGACGTGCCTAGAGCGTCTGGAGTTTCTCATTTCAAATGGATCCTTTAAAAAAAAATGGTTAGAACACTGTCTCCATCTGTAACTATTGATAATCTACTTGTCGAAGAGCAAAGACTCTTAAATCCATGCTAAAGTAGGCGTAATTTCTACGGGAAAAAAACTGGATAGGCAATGTAATGCTTTTTAACTTTGGAAATGATCATTTCTTATACATCAGAAGCTCTTTTTCAAAGTTTAGACAATGAGTTTATGGGGGTCATTTTCTAAAGATTGTTTTATCTGAATTCTGAGCTGCGGACGTATAGTAGTGCTCATTTTCTTTTTTTTTTTTTGGGGGGGGGGGGTTGGGTCGTGGGGCCTGAACTCTGGGCCTGGGCACTGTCCCTCAGCTCTTCAAGCTCAAGGCTAGCACTCTACCTCTTAAGCCACAGCACCACTTCCGGCTTTTTTCTTTTTGCTTATGTGGTGCTGAGGAATTGAACCCAGGGCCTCAGGCATGCAAGGCAAGCGCTCTACCACTGAGCCACCTTCCCAGCCCCTAGTGCTCATTTTCTTAAATTTCTGTGACTAAGAGAGAAGACATCTAGTTGCTTGCAAATTCTTTAAAGAAAAAAATCAAGATGTACTGCTATTAATTGCTTCATAAAGTATAATGTTAAACTATGATTGCTGACATGCACCTTGCACCCTCTGGATTATACAATTAAGAAGTCTTAACCTTTAATCCATACATAAAGGAATTTTAAAAATATGTACATCATCTGCTCCATAAAAATGTATGAGATACTTATCAAACAAAATGAAAAACATTTCCTGTATAAGACATATACAACAGGCCTTGGTATTTGATATAGCCCAGCACATGTATTTAATAGAGCTTTATATGAAGAGTATAACCATAAAATGTACACTGTGGCTGTGTTTCCATCAACATCCTGGATCCAAAATTCTAATTCTGATTCAAGTATTAACAAGCAATATAACCCTAACTAGAATACTGTTACCAAGCACCCACACCAAGAACTAATTGCCAAGGCATATAATCCTATTAGGAACTACTGTTGCAGTTAGGATTACATAGCAGACATTCAGATGTATGTTTAATGAACTGCTTGGTATCTCAGTTACTTCTTTGACCAACCTGGAATAATAACTTCCATTCTCCAGTCACAAAGTGTTTATGAGGACTAATGAAACAAAGTGAGATAACATATTGATATTCATAAGCATAGTACAATTTTTTAAGTGATCTCATTCTAAAAACAAAACACATAGTACTTACCTCAAATCATTGAGAATTACTGTCCAAGCCACCTGGATATAAACTGGAGACCCTATCTGAAAAACAACTAAAGCAAAAAGGCTGTGTGGGGTGTGGCTAGGCACTGCCTACCAAGTGCAAGGAGCTGAATTTAAGCTTTAGTACTGCCCTCCCCCCACCAAAAAAAAAAAAAAAAACATTTAAAAACATAAAATGAAAGGAAATTTTTTAAATCCCCTTTTGCCTTTAAAATTCCACTCCCTAGAAATAGCCACTAAATATATTAATCTGGCAATTCTCAAACTATCAGGCATTAAGATTAATGTAGATTTTTGAACAGGTTCTAGGCCATGTCATTAGAGAGAATCATTCAGTAGATCTAATTTGTTTTTTTTTTTTTTGTCGGTCGTGGGGCTTGAACTCTGGGCCTGGGCGCTGTCCCTCAGCTCTTCAGCTCAAGGCGAGCGCTCTACCACTTGAGCTACAGCGCCACTTCCAGTAGATCTAATTTGAAGTCTGGGAATACATACTTTTACATACACTTCAGGTCGATTTGATTCAACTGGTGACATTTTATGTGCTTAAAAAACAATTACAGGGGCTGGGAATGTGGCTTCCTAGTAGGTAGAGGGCTTGCCTAGCATGCATGAAGCCCTGGGTTGGATTCCTCAGTACCACATAAATAGAAAAAGCCAGAAGTAGCACTGTGGCTCAAGTTTAGAGTGTTAGCCTTGAGCAAAAGCAGCTCAGGAACCATGTCCAGGCCCTGAGTTCAAGCCCCACCTGGCAAAAAAAAAAATTACATTTCACATGAGGTTAGAACTAGGAATAGAATTATCACCATTATCTGTTATCAGTAGTCCATACTCTTATCACATCATCGTTCATTCCTTGTGGATTTATGTATCTCTGTATGGCTTGGTTATAGCTTGTCCCCAAGTGTTTCATGTGTTAGAAGAGTGGTCCTCAGTCTAATGGTATTGAACTAGTAGAGACTCTGAGATTAGGCCTAGTTTGGGGACATTGGATTATAAGAGTTCCATGCTCAGGAGGCATATTAATACCTATCTCCAGAGAATAATTTGGGTCTTGTTTCACTAGATTAGTTCTCGAGAGAGAGAGATCTTATAAAACAGAGCTACCCCACCATGCTTGGCCTCTTCTGCGTTGTTTTCCTTAGACTTTTCTGCCCTGGAGAAGAAGAAGGGGAAGATTCCTTATCAGAATCCAGCATCAAGCTGTTTGAACTTTCTAGCCACCCAGTTTGTATGCCAAGTTAACCTTTTTCCTTTGTAAAGCAGCCTCTGTTATTTTGGTATAGTAACACAATATACTAAGATAATCACTAGCTAGGTTATTGGCCTAGACATACTGCTTTGTTTCTCACATACAAACTCTGTCTCAGTATTTTCCCAGACCTCTGCTGTAAATTCACAATAGCATTTTCTTTAACTCAGAGTTAGCTGTTTCTCTGTCTGCTCTTTTAACACATCACTTCTATGAATCTACACTCTATCCCAGATCCCCATAATCTAATTCCACCCACATTTTTGTCACCTACTCTAATACATTCGGAACAAACAATATGTAATTAAATACTGATTGCATGTTACAGACTTTAAGTAGAGATAGAAGAAAGGCAATGAAAACTAGAGTTGCCAGGACATTTTTGGTGTTAAATGCTTTTAATGCTTTTTATAGTTGGTGTTTTTTTTTTTTTTTATGAGAAATGAAGAAGTTCAGTTTTAAAAGGAGTCCTTACTTCTGTGGCTTCAACAGCACATGAAAGATGACTGTAATCTAAATAATCAGAGAGCAGAAAAGAAAGCAAGCAAAGCAAGAAAAACCTGAAGCAGGGTATTTTCACATGACCATTCTGATGTGGCCATTTTATGTGCCTGCTAGGACTATTTGGTCAAAATGTAATAACCACCATTTCCTTTTAAACTAACATGAGTGTAAGCAGACATCCAATACCTGTAGCCATCCATAATGTTCACTTCAAATATGGTAGATTTCCATTTCTTATTTTAGTTACTTTTATATTACCCAGCACTTAAATTAGTGTATATTATTAAAGCCAGATTTTTTTTCTCAGAAGTATAGGATATAATGCATGTGGGCTAGTTTACAGAAGGGAAATTGGAAAGATATATTTGATGAGAGATATATACATTGAAACTATTGAGGAAAATCTTTAGATAGCATATGATTACAGCAAATCTTGGTAGCCATGGAGAGATGCTTGCCCTTGAGGGGGGCATCAGCAGGAAACTCCCTGGAGAACAGGCATGATGTGAAGTCATGGAACAGCAGTATGATGTTGTAGAATGAGCACAGGCTTTGAAGTGCACCTGACCTGGTTTCCAATACCAGTTTTGCTGCTTGTTATGTGTGTGGCCTTGGGCAACTCACTACATTGTCTGAGTCTCAATTTTTTCATCTATAAAATGGGAATTAAAAACTCTTGTTAGAATAATAAAGTTTTGGCATGAAGAAGTTCTTTGGAAAATAGTTGCTATTGTTATTTGGAAAATAATATTAGAGTAGAATTTCAATTACCCAGTAGGTTTAATAAAGGAGAGTTTTATATCAGGATGGACAGAAAAGAGACTCATGAGAAATCCAGACATGAAATTATTGAACAGCGAATAGTGGAATAATAGGAATAAAAGAAAGACAAAAGTAACAAAGATCACAAATGAAAACTGAGAAGATGTGAAATATAGAGGATAAAGGGAAGTGGTACATGCAATTCTCTTAAGTTTTAAAAATTAAGAAAATGACCATTAGCAGGTTTGAGAATTTTTCTGGGG